TTATTAGTGATTATGTGAAAATTCAGAAATGTATTTGATGTGAATGAATTTTTTTCATTGCAATATATCACTATGTTCCTGATGATTACCTGAAGATTTATAGACAAGCCAACCCCCCTTTACTTCCTGAAATTTTGGGAACAGATCCTTCAGTTGGGCACATACCTTACAATGTAAATAACACTGAGTAAAAATTAAATCCCCAACAGTTACAAGTGCAACACTGGTACAACCAGCTTATAGTGTTTAATTACAGTAATGTGCTAAAGAGCACCTCAGCACCCATGTTCCAGCTATACAGAGTTACTAATGAATTAAGCTCTGTTACATTAGCAAAAGAGAATTTTAAAAGATGCAAGAGAAACATCATGCATACTTACTTCAACATTTGCATTATCTTTCGCCCCAACCCAGCTTGCATATGTACCAGTTGCTCACTCTCCATAGGTGTTCGCTCATATTGGTGAGGAAGCAAATAAAAGTTAACAGGCAATATTTTTGCGGGTTTGCTAGGGGGCACTGACAGCATTCGCCTTTTACCCCGTCCTTTGCTGAAAAACCCAGGAAATTATCTGTTGCCAAAAAATCTCAATTACAAACCAAAATATTTACCATCAAATAATGTAATGTTTCTTTAGGTCAATATTAAATAAAAATAATGTAGTTGCAAAACCTGGTCATCTCAGTTTGGATGGTGGCCCTCTGCTGAACAGTGTGCTGCCTATGGAGGCTGAATCATTAAATTAATTTAATGAAAGTAATTTAATAAAACTATGCATGCACAAATACATATACATAACAGGGAATTCCTTTACCACACTATCCTTACTAACTATCCTTACCACAATAATAAATAAAAATACACAAAAAACCTGGAATTATCCTGACTGGGACCAGCTGCACTGCCTGAAGTCAGCAAAGACAACAAGTGCCTGGCTGACCTGACAACTTCACTGTCCTGTAAAAACAGTTTAAGCTGATTTTTTTTGTATCTTATAAACATTCATTATTGGTCTAATGGTCCGCTGTTTATAATGCTTTTT